GGCGGGCGGCGTCATATGACCGGTCACGTGCTGGAGGCAGCTCAGTCCAAAAGAAAATGGGGTTTGGTGTAAATCTGGGGGTGTAATGTTATCATATATCACGCTACCTCGTAAAACCGACACTGAAGCCTGCCGGACAACAAATCACAGGTCAAAATTATGAGTTCTTCGTATTATGTGAATGCGCTTTTTAGCAAATATACGGCGGGGGCTTCTCTTTTCCAAAATGCAGAGCCTACTTCTTGCTCCTTTGCAAGCAACTCCCAGAGAAGCGGCTATGGACCAGGCGCGGGTGCCTTCGCCTCCTCCATGCCCGGCTTGTACAATGTGAACAGTACCATATATCAAAGCCCGTTCTCTTCCGGATACAGCCTGGGCTCTGATGCCTACAACCTGCATTGTTCCTCTTTTGATCAGAACATTCCCGTCCTCTGCAATGACCTAACCAAACCCAGCTGTGAGAAAGCGGAGGAAAGCAACCTGCACAACCAGGCTGAGGCTAATTTCCGGATATACCCCTGGATGAGGTCTTCAGGTAGGGGCAAGCGGAGAGGGCTGGAGCTGTGGCAGCCAGGCTAAGCGTGTCGCCAAAATTACTGTCAGCACAGCCTTTATGGTTTTAATTATAGCCGAGGCGCCATTGCGTAGAAAGCCCGTGGCATTGTATGTAAATGAGTATCATAAAACTTTTTATTGCCCAATTAATGGGTTCTATCCTCGTAAATTTATTTAACTCCGTTTGCTATGGAATTGTAGCACTGACTTTATTTGCACTGTTTGCTATAGAAATGGGGAGAGTTGGCCGCGCGTTCTGCGAGCCCCTGGGTGAGTGTCCCCCCTGCCCACGGGCACGAGTCGAGCACAAAACGCGGCTCGGGGGCGAAGGCGGAGGGGAGAGGGGCGACCAGGAACGGGGCCCGGGCTCACAGGGACTTTTCCAGCCTCCAATAGTGAGACGTGTCACTCTTGTGCCCCTGCTCTTTTCCATAGAGATAAAAATCTATAGAAAATCGCTAAACAGGAAAACGCGCGGGGGGGTGGGTGGCGGGGGGAAAGGTTGGGGGCGAGACTGTGTGAAAAACGCGAGCGTCTTTCTGGAGCTAAATGCGATGTATTGTTTACGATCCAGGCGGGGGAGGGGGTGTGGGGGAGCGCCCTGACATTAAAATAAAATAAATACAGCCCAGCCTTCCAGCTTTTTTTTTTTTTTTTTTTTCCCCTTGCGAAACGCGAAAGTCTGGAAGGTTTTAGAGAAATACATCGCCTGGGGGAAAGTTCCTCCTCCCAAAAGCAATTTCCTCCCCCACCTCCTCTCCTGAATGCTTTCTCTCCACTTTTGCCATGTCTCGAGCAACTTAATTTTTGCCCTGCCCGAGCAGGGCAGGTCGTTTAGCAGAAATTTCTTTGTTAGGGCAAAGTGGGGGGGCGGGTGGAAGTAAGAGAAGGAGGTTATTGATTCTAGCTTGGCCGTTTTGTTTTGTTGGGTTTTGCTGTTAAAAAAAAAGAAAATAATAATAATAATAAAAAAGAAAATAAAATAAATGAAAAGGAAAATAAAAGGAAGGGAAAAAAAGGCAAGAAAAAAACTTTCCACTTATCTTCCTGCCTAACTCCTGGACGTGTGTGCCTGGTTTCAGGTCCAGATAGGAAGCGAGGACGCCAGACCTACACTCGCTACCAGACCCTGGAGCTGGAGAAGGAATTCCACTTCAATCGCTATCTGACTCGCCGGCGGAGGATAGAGATTGCCCATGCCCTGTGCCTCACCGAGAGGCAGATCAAAATCTGGTTCCAGAACCGCAGGATGAAGTGGAAGAAGGAGCACAAAGAGGAGAGCTCCAGTACCCCGGCTCCCAATGAGCCCACGTCAGCAGCAGCCTCTGTGGAGAAAGTGGAGGAAGACGAGGAAGAGGAGGACTAAAGTGTCCCATTGAGGAATCAGCCCCTTAGTATAATGTATGCACGTGACAGTTATAAAATCTCCTTTTAAAGGAGAGAAAAAAAAAAGAGGGTGAAAAAAAGGATAAAAGAGAGACTCACTGTTTTTATTAAAAAAAAAAATCAGTTCCCTTTAATAATATCTCGCAAGCGAGCATTTGCGAACATTAAAACGTTTCTTGGGCTGGTTTTCCAGCCCCTTCTCCAGCCTCCCATCCTTCCCAACCCCGTCCTTTGCCGAACCTGTTGGTAATATCTCCTAAGAGTACCCAACAATCATTTGGTTTTCGTTCACCCAAACTTGGGTGGCTGTGTCCAGGGGCTGCTGCTTGCACATAGAGTAAACCGCGACCTTCCGAAGTAACTACCTGACTCAATAGTCCCAATATTTGTAAAGGGAAAAAGTGCATTAGGCTCATATTAAGAAAAAAAAAACTACCTAATTTTGAATAAGTAGCTCTGTTTATTTCTTTATTTTAATTATTATTATAAAAGTATCATAACTAACAGCTACACTAACAAAGGTTAAACTGCAACTGGGGGGGGGAGGGGAGATGCTACACAAACCACTACAATCTACAATGATTTGTACTACCTATTTTCCAGACTACCTATATATCTTGCTCCGCCTACCTATCTTTTAAAGTATACTGTATTTTAGTAGTTACACAAGATAACATACTAATGTGAATCGCAAAACGCTCATAGAAACATAAGTGTAGTCGTTCGAGATGCATGCATCAATAGCTTTGGTATAGAATTTGGTACCGAAAAGGCTGAATATATTTAAATTTAAAATAATATATTTATTCCAAAGCAATTATAAATGAAAACCATATGCTGCAATATATCTCTGTTCTCAATTCTTTACTATTCCGAGTGAGGAAGCAAACACACGCTAATATTGTACAAAGCGGTTTAGTATCTTCCGTTGGCTTCTACCTTTGGCTGGCTCTTTTAAAGGCCGTTTTCTTATGCTAGTTTGATCTTACTTAATATAGCGAAAGTGTTATTTGAGAAGTGAATTTAAACGACCATGTTACCACCTATCAAAAAACTGTTTGTCCCGATTATCCGAATGTGTCAATATGTAATACCGTGAATTTTCCTACAATAGCAGATACTGTATATTTGAACGATTTTTTTTTGTCATTTATATTTGTCTTAGAGCTCATTTGTAAGATCATGTCACAAATTGGGAAGAATGTAATTAATTTGGAAACTTTGTAGCATGATGTATTGTTAAGATCTCTGTATAAATCCGTCTTGAAGGTTTGGCTAAAGTTTATTCAAAAATTGTATGTTACAATGTGTTTCGATGTGTTCGTTGTGAACATTTGGATATGCCGTGTAAGTATTGGAAGTGAAAGAAAAATCGTCTGTGAACTCTCTTTGGAAGTGATACCGTGTTCAAGTATCTCCCACAATAAATGTGTTTTATGTTACACAGAAAATAAATATGCTTGTTGACAATGAATTGTTCTTCTTTATTAGCGAAACAGTACGAATGAAGAATTAAAAATAATTTATACAGACAAATAGAGAAATTAAACCATATAAATCTTTTTTTTTCCCGCGTTATCATAAAGAAAAAAAATACAGGATGACGAATTGATGGAAATCAGTCATTTTCCCTATCTATTTTTTCCCTAGCGTAGCTGATTAATAAAGCGGAAAGTTTTTTTTTTTTTTTTTTTTGTGGTGGTGGTGATGGGGCTTCCTTTCACCGTCTTCTCTTGAAATCATAAGCCCGGCGCAGGGGGCCCGTGACCAAGCCGAAATCGCAGGCAGTGTCACAATATTTGGTAATGAACAGAAAGTGCGATACGAAACTTGTGAGTGTAAAAGGTCTTTTCGAATACGTGATGGTGTATGCGGCTTTCTCCGAGCGGGGAGCCGCAGGACGAAATTAAAAAGAGGGAAATTCTCCCTGAATTATAATATATATATACATATATATATATAGGTTTCTCCAGGCACCACAGAAAGCCAACGGGATTAAATATTTAAAAAGATATTAAAAAAAAAAAAAGAAAACTCCCTTAATAAGGCCAGCTAAAAACAGGTAGAATGCGAGCATCATATGCGCGGAACTTCCCTATTTCTTCTGCATTCGGTTGCTGGTCAGCGCACTAATTGTAATTTTAGTAAAATTAGTGTAAACTCTAGGTCTTTTAAAAAACTCCAGGGCTGCCTCTGTGGTAAGATGGCGCCTCTCTAAGACCTGCCTCTTCTTAGTGATGAGGAAAAGGCCATAAATCCGTTGTTGTTTATGAAAATTTACAACTTTGCAATACAACTTTATGAGTTGTTCGGTTTTTCCATTGGTCCTCGTCGGTCATGTGGATGGTAACCGTGAACATGAACTTTTTTATAATTTCCCTTGCGAGAATAGAGCCGCATTCTTTTGCTGAGCTCTGTCCTGCTTCGGATCTCTCTGGCTTTCAATCCCCATTTCATTTGTCCTTTGTAAGGCAATAGTGAGCAAAGTGTGCGGAGGTTCGGCATAAGCAGCCGCCTAGAACACAGATCCGGGATGGCAATTTCCAGTTCCCCCGCTGGAAGGTGTGGCATATTGGATTCAAAGCACTGGCGTGGCAGATTTTCAACTTGCAACCTGGCTAATTTCCTGCTTCTTCTGGCACCAAAAGGAGGGCGATTCGTCTCCTGTGCAGCCAAAGCGACAGCTGTCAAAGTCGCAGGGGCTCCTGTGAGCCAGAACCTAAAAGGTGAGAAATGTATATGACACTACTGTAAGCAGGGAAACATGCTTTAATACGTTTGAATATTAGACATGTGTAATTGTACCAAATGGAAATGTGACCGGCCAAAAATAGATGTGCCTGCAGCTCAGTATATTTTGACTTAACCTGTGCATGCAAATATATTCCTAAATAAAATGTCTTCTTTCTATTATTTAGCCAGCGAGCCGTGGATTTTTCATCAAGTTTATTTCTGCTTGTGTCTGCCACAGGGTTACTGTGACATTCGGATTATTATTTTCTAATAATTCCGGTTTAGAGCACCAGTCTGATGGGATTTTTTTTTCTTTGCAGCATGAAAAAAAATCCCAATCACTAATTTTTATTTCGCAGCGTTAGGCTGAAGTTAATGCGCTTAGCTATGAATATGGATGCTTATGTTTCTGACCATTTTAGGGGAAAAAAGGGGGGGCGGAATTAAAAAAAAAAAAGTGTCAGCCAACGCTAGTGTCTCCTGGCTCCCTGGAGCAAGGTTATTCCTGGAGCAGGGAAGCAGCGTTGAGGTGCCTTTTGGTTGCAGCCCTGCGTGCTGCGGAACGGCGGACGCAGCGGCGCGGGCAGAGCGGAGCTGCCCCGCGGCGCCTCCGCGCACGGCGGCGGGTGCTTCCCCGTGCGGGGAGCTCGCT